CCAGGCAGATAAAATGATTTCACCCTAGTTGAGCACCAGAGAATACATCAGACAGCAGACTGGGAGATTCAAATATCCACATTTCACAGTAAATTAACACCAGACCAATACATTCCTTCAAAGCCTAATTCATTAGGTGTGAGATAGCTACACGAGTTTTCACACCAGTAAATGAATATTATGCCTTAACACCTATTAGTTGGGCCATTTTAAGAACAAATGTGGTATATAGATAGACCACGAAACTATAGTCACAACTCAGGTATCATTAGAGCCTTATTCTTTCAAACTGATGGTGCCAAAGCCCAAGGAACGGGGTCAAAAGCATTTGTCATCAGGATACTTCATCGGCGAGTCTTTTTTGAGGTTATTCCAGAATTTTCTTTAGATGCCCTCCCTAGAGTTGGAGGCCTTAAGACCTTCCTGGGCAACTAAGATGATACTTAGCAATGGGTTAGCAAGTGCATGGAGCCAAATGCTGCAGAAAACTTTTTGCAAACTATTACGGCCTCTGCCCCCTTTCTGTCTGATTACTAAGATACAGCTGGTGGCACGTACCTTGAAGTGTTAAGCAGAGAATGAATGAAAGGTTTTGATACATAAAGAACACTTCTTAAACACTCTTTCATTTGTGTAAGAAAGCGAGGAATAAGGGACAGCTCTGTCATAGCTTCTACTATGGAAAAAACGTCATTCTATGTGTGTATGATGTGTCCGTGTGTCTGTGTGTGTATATACCCAGACTAGGAGGCCTTCTCCAGATCTAATGGGTCAACAACACTTCCAACACAGTAGGTCAAGACTTCTCTTAGTATTTGCTTCTCTTCATGCATCACCAAATCTATCTTAATCCAGAGGGCAACTCTAAGCCTTTTTTCTGTGCTGAGTCTAAGCTCTAGGATAGAGCTAACAGTAGCTTCTCTTCCCCTGAAATTGCACCAGAACCTCAAAAATGTGTGACCCTATTCATTCACTGGGGAAGCCTTCCTGGAGTTCAGAGTAAAAAGGAGGAGACTACATATTTGAGAATAACAATACATGTGGGCCAGTTAGAGATGATAAACTCTAGAGATGCTTAAAATTTACTTAGCTTCCTCTTAATGAATACAGTAAGCCTGTCCTAAACCTAGAATGATAGTGCTTTCTGTATTCGCCTTCTCGAAGAATCACTGCCAATGAATGAAGAAGTAGTGATTCATAACAAATAAACACCTTCAGATGGGAAAGGACCTCAATGGAACTTCTAATTTAAAAGCCAGTCTTCAGAAAAACAGAGAGAGAGTCAGAGACAGAGACAGAGACAGAGACAGAGAGATTGAGAGAGACCAGGAGTAAAAAGTATAGGGAGAAAACAATAGATTTCTGGTATCCAGCTCTGGACTCCTTATGGCCATTTGGGGAGAGGGCTATTCTCCTTCAACAAGATTTAAAAAATAAAAAATCGCATTTCTGTAAGGCTCCTTAAGGTATAACTTGCGACTCAGAGGAGTCGGTGTATTTAACTTTATTCCTTATCTATCCCAGGGGATTAAAATGAAGTAAATGCCTAAAAACAACAATGCAGAGCTGGACTCCGGTGGTCGCGGCACCCTCCACTCCTTCCTGCAATTACAGCAACTAGCGCTTTCAGGGGCCAGCAAGCACGGCGGAGCCCTGCATTATACAAAACCGCAGCCTGCTGTCTCCCTCGCGTAATTAATCTCTGCTTTCCACAGGAGCCATCTTCTGCGGAGCTCAGCATTTGCCTGGGACTCTCTGACTTTTTTCCTTATCATCGCCACTGTCTTTGTTTTGGGAAAGAGAAGTGGTATCCGAGGTGTATGAACCTTGCATGACAGGGCACCTAAGCACTGAATAAGCAACGGTGCATGTAAAATGCATGTGGCCTCCGTCAATCCAAGCATCATTTCTTTCCCCAAATGACTCAGAAAAGTGACGCCAGCCTGCATTCCTTTCTGAAGACAGTCTCAATATTTTTACCCATTAATAATGAGATAACTCTTTAGTGACTGCAATACTTTTTTTAAGCTACCATAAACTAACTTCATGTGAGTATAGACAATCTATTTATGCACGGGGAGGGGGAGAAAAAAACGCAGTATTTTTAACTCTTTTACTCTTCACTGATGTAGTTTCCATGGAAACCATAACATTAAGCCAAGCAGCTACTTCGACATTACATAATACTGTCTAATGGTTAGTTACTCCTGAATAAGCGTGTTTATTCAGTAGCTTTTCGTCCATGTAATCAACCATATCTACCCTGATTAGATTAAATAGGGACCAGAGTCATGAAATCATTTATTGCAGTGTGATTTGTGCCTGTTACTCATCTAGAAAATGACAGGCTGTGTTTGCCAAGGAAAAGGTGCCTGTGGCGTGTGCCTGTGAACTTGAGGGAAGAGAGTCTAGAGCTTCTGAGACACACTGATTGTAGATTTGATACATTTAGATGAAAGAGATATGACACTGAAGAACAGAGCAGAGGTATTCACAATACAACTGTAAGCTTTTTGGTCCTCTGCTTCCTTTTAACAAGAATGAGAGAGGGTCAGCTCCGATTCTCAGAGGACCTATGCACACAAATAAAGCACTCAGAACACAAGATACTTGCTACGGAAATTCTTGTTCCATTTAAGATCAAGAGTTTGCCTCACATGAGCACTGGGGTTTGTGCGTGATTACTGTTGATTGAAAAATTGTTTGGAGAGCATAACAGGCCGCCAATTTCCTGTGACACTGTAGTTTTTGTGTGTTTGTCTTCTTTTTAATTACTTCATGAGACTGTCCTTTGAGGCCTTCTACGACTCCTTCCTCATATACAACTTTCAAAAAAACATTTATTGTCCCCAACTCTACAGAGGTATGACAATTAAAAATTGTATATGTTCAAGCTGAATGACAAATTGATGATTTGATGTATTTTATATTGTGGAGTAGCCTGTTTAACTGACCTAGTAGTCAACATATCCTTCCAAAAGCTTCAATGATTGCCTGTATCTTAGGACACCTGGATGCTTTATTCATTATTTTCAGTTATTGAAAAACATACAAATTTTAGCTGTTTTTCAATGAAGTAAAATAATGCTCACCATAACTAATTCTTGGAGACGGTGTCCTTTACAGTCTATAGATACTTGATTTTCTCACGGATGACAGGCATGAGCTAGAGGAATTGATTTTTCCCTTCCTTTCCCTTTCCTCTATCATCTTTTGACAATAATTAGTGATTTAAATAGACATTAAAAGGGTCTGTTGGGAAATGAATGGAATCCGAAGACTAGCTTTTTTAAGTCACTTAAATATTCCCATAACTATATGACCAATTTAATGAAGTTTTGGCTTATTCTTCTTCATATTCTTATTGAAAATACGGTGATAATGTTTATAGTTTATTTAGAAAGAAGACAGATAAATTAAAATTCCATTAAAATCTCTCAAAATCCTCCTACTACCAACAATGAATTTCCCCCTTTTTTGGAGGGGTAGAGTGCAAACAGCTAGGACAGGCTGCTAGTTAGAAAGGAAGACCCTTCGTCCTAGGCCTGAGGCTTCTCTCTTGTAGCTGTTGAGTCTCTCTTGCTCCGTAAGAACAACAGTTTCTCGTGTCAGAGTCCCAACCTTCTTTTTCTTTTCTTTTTTTTTAATTCTTGTAGTCTTTACACAGAGGAAAGCGGGAAATTAACCTTTCCTAGGTTTCTAATGGTTTCGTTGACTCTGCCCTCTTTTCTCTCTTCTCTCGTCTGCCAGCATAGGCTGGTTTAGCACACCTTCCCCTTTCTATTATATTCTTCTTCTCCTTCCTTCCTTGCTTTCTAGGCATCATGCCTTCAATCCCACTCTTCCTTTAGAAGAGCCAGATCTGCTGAGTTACCAAGTGGTAAAGTAGTTCCCACTGAATGCACTCTCCTCACCTCCACCCAACCTAAGGGAACTGCCCCTCTTCCTTCCACAGGGAAATCTAGTCTATATGATTCAGCCATGCTACTCACCAAAGATCACATCATTAACTGTTGACAAGTCTCCCTCCACTCACTGAACAAATATTTATAGGCCCCCTATTCTGCCAAGCCAGGTCAAGTCCACAGAGGTGAACAAGACCAATAAGACCCAATCTCTAAAATTTCCCTTCCTCTGGCTTGAATATCTTTGCATCCTCAGGACATACTGAAATCTCTGACTCATAGTTCACATTTACTTTGTCAATTCGCTTTTTCAAATTTCCGGTTTTATTCCATGGAATTACTTAAATTTTTGGAAAATAAAAACATAAATTAGCAGGAAAATAATACAAAGTAATTCATCTATACTGGTACTAAGCAGAAATTAACACTGTCCCGTTTTAGGTACGTGTAGATTAGACAGTAATACAAATCATCTTGAAATAGGATCATGGGTCGGGGAGATGGCTCAGTTGGTGAAGTGATTGACGCAAAGCCTGAGGACTTGAGTTCTGATCCCCAGGAAGCACGGTAAAAAGTTAGGTTTGACCCCACCAAGGGGAGGCAGAGATGTGTATCACTTGAACCTGCTGGCCAGCCAACCTAGCCAAATCAATGAATTCTAGATTCAGCGAGAGACCCTGTCTCAAAACATAAGATGGAGAGTATCTGAAGAAGAAAAACAAATGTTGACTTCTGAATTCCAATATGCATACACACACACACACACACACACACACACACACACACACACACACACACACACACACAAGATCACAGGACATTTGAGCTTTGTTTTCAGACAACCCATAAGACTGACCATCAGCATTCTGAATGACTTCATCTCCTACTTGAATGAAAGCTTGCACATGAGGAGACACACATATGCACCACTGACTGGAACAGTCTTGGCCTTGAATTTACTTTTGTGTTTTTATTAGTATTGCACCAACAGTGAAGTTTAGCGGGTGTCTTTCATCTGGAGGCAAGAGCATAAAAGAATGCAAGGAGTTGATTCCCCAAAGACAAGGGAACCCCAGGCACCCAGGGTGCCCTCAGGACTGTGGAACCTCCTGATTCACTCTGGGGGGCACATCACAGCCCCCTAAAGATGATAGGTTCCCTTTTCTGTGCACATTGATGTTTAAATACCCACTACAGGCAGCATCAGTTCTTGGGCTGGGAGAGGGGAGCTCAGAGTCAAACAATGGAAGCTGCTTTCAACTTTTGAGTAGGTCTCTTTCGTAGCCATTAACCTCTCCCTACAGCAATGATGAATTATTACCCCTACCACTACTGATGGCCTATCCTTGGCATGATTAATTAATTTCTTAGTCGAACATAAAAGATTCTAAACAACCTATCATCTGATTAAGTCTACTGGGATATTAAAAAGATATTATCCTAGGGAGGCATATGCAACACAGTGCCTTAACTTAAAAGGGAAGTGTGCTGTGATCCTTTCTCTTGATACTGGAAAAGCGTTTGATAAAACTCAGATCTGTTCATGATGAAAATGTCCAGTGCTCTAGTTCCTGTCCTCCCTGACCAGACAAAATCCTGACAGAAGCAACTTAAGAAGGGCAGGTGTGTTGGGCTCATGATTTGAGTGCATAGTGATGGGGAAGGCATGACCATGGAGCTTGAAGCAGCTGGTCAGATGTCATGTGCAGTCAGGAAGCAGAGAGAGGTCCATGCTGGGGCTCAGTTCCCTTTCTGCTTTCTATTCTGCCCAGGACCCCAACCTCTGGGACAGTGCTGTCCACATTTAGGGTACATCTCCTCTCTTCATGTAACCCTCTCTGGAAACATTCTCGGAATTATGTTCCCATGGTGATTCTGAGTCCCATCAAGTTGACAGCCAAAATTAACCACCACATTTAGTAAGCTAGGAATAAACGGAAGCCTTCCCGTGGTACTTAGAAGTGAAATACTAGGGCTAAAGAGATGGCTAGGCAGTTAAGAGCACTGGCTTCTCTTCCAGATGATCCAGGTTCAATTCCCAGAACCCACATGGTGACTCACACCTGTAACTCTTGCCCCAGGGGGATACAATGTTCTCTTCTGGCATTTGTAGGCCTTAGACATGCACATTGTGCACAGACATTCATGCAAGCAAAATACCCAAACACATAAAATAAAAGTGAAAAAAATCAGTAAAATATTGGAAATACATATCTCCATCATAATTTATTTTTTTGCAGCAGTGGGATTGAAGGGTCTTGTGCATGCTTGCCTAATACCCTACTACTGAGCTGTAATCATTTTGTCTATTGTGATACAGATTCCATTAATTTTCCTCAGGTAGAACTTGAACTATTGATCCTTTTGCCTCAGACTCCCCATAAGTAGCCAGGATTCAAGGCCTGGGCTACTATTCTAATTTTAATTTTAAAATGCAAAGTATCAGCTTGCTATAGCTATTGGACATTGTCTCACCAATCTAGCCCAACCAATTAAGAAAAAACAGGAAGGCTAAACACTACAAAAGAACAAACTAAACAGATTTTTATTCCTCTCAATTATCTACCCTAATTAATGTGTCAAATTTTCCATTCACAGAACAATTTTGTGGAATGAGTGTTAATATTATTCTTACTCATGAAAGGTTTCAGAGCTAGGAAAATCCATAGCCAAGATCTGACCTCAGGCGATCTGATGTCAGGTCCCTGTATTTTATTACGGTATTAGCTACTTTTCTGTTCCTGTGATAAAGTACCACTACCAAAAGCAACCTCAGGAAGAAAGGGATTATTTTAGCTTATGGTTCCAGAAGGATAAAATCGATAATCATAGGAGAGGCATGGCAGCAGGAAGTGGGGGCCACAGGAAGCAGGGGGGAACAAAGGAAATAAGGAGGCACAGGAAGTGGGGAGACACGGGAAGTATGGGTGAGGCTTAGGCTCTTAAAGCCAGTACTCAATGACACACTTCCTCTTGCAAGGCGCCACCTCCTAAAGTTTTCACAACAGCCCCAAACTGTACCATCCACTGGAAACCCAGTGTCCAAATACATGAGCTCATACAGGGGTCATCTCTCATTCAAACCTCCACAGTCCCCATCTGATAACTCCTAAATATAGGTCCAAAATTAAAAATACACATGACTGATAATGATCATAACTATGAAAGTAGGCTGCCAAGCTTCCTAGCCATTTAGCCTTAAATGTTTAAAAACAAGCGAACAATGAGACTGAGAAGTTAGCTTAATATCACAGCTTTCCCCCTAATTTAATAAAAATGAAAATAAAAACATCCTTCATTAAAATAAGAAAAATTTTGAGAGCCACAGAAGAATGTGAGCCCTCTCAATGTCTCCTAATTATGAAATTTAAACAAAGAATGTGCCTGTATTGTTTTCTCATTGCATGAGACTTTACAGGTCAGTTGAAGCCTTACTTTTCTTGTGAGAGCTACAGTTCGTTTGTGTGCCTTGGGAGCGTGGTAAGTGTCCTGTGCTCTTCCTTCAGCCTCACAAAATTCAAACTGGTCAGCGGGATTGTGAATATGGGAGAAAGGGGGCCTTTCCAACAAGAAGACAAAACCACTAGGACACTTTATTACCTACAAAAGGATTCAGACCGGTAAGCATAATGAATATGGGAGTTCTGTGGCAAGCGCTAGCATCGTCGTGAAGAAAAATTTGTATCAAATGTCTAATGTCACTAAATATCAAGAATCATGTCCCCAGAAAGAAATGTTCTGAATTTCTTGAATGCAAGACAACCCTCAGTAGCAAATTAGATCTCACGATGCATCAGAGGATACACACAGGGTAAAAACACTATGCAAGTGTGCAGTATGAGATGGCCTTATGCTCTAAGGCAGAATTGCTACTCACCAGAGCAATGACACTTGGGAGAAACTATGAGCAGAATGATGGAGGGAATTCCTTTTCCTGGAAGACACAGCTCATCAGCCACCAAGCTACTCACACAGGTGACAAACTATATGAATATAAAGTGTGCAGGAAAAGTTTCCACCATAAATCATCCTTTACAATACTTGAGAGAACTCACTGAAAAAAAAATGAAAATATTGCATGTGGAAAACTCTTTACAAGAAGTCCCAGGTCAACAGATATTGGAGAATTCATACAGGAAAAAAAACCCTATAAATGTAATGAATGTGTAAAGACCATTCCCAATATTACATATCTGATAACAGTTTTTAAAATAAAAAGAATGAGAAGCTGAAGAGATGACTCAATAGGTAAATTGTTTGCCACTTAAATTGAGGACCTGAGTACAGGAGGCTAGAAGTCACACACACACACACACACACACACACACACACACACACACACACACACACACACGAATGAATAAAAGTTTGTTGGACTGAGATTAGAGCTTAATCAGTAAAAGCATTTGCTCTGAAATTGTGAAGACTTGGGTTTGAAACCCCATTACCTACATAAAGGTTCAAGCTTGGCTCCATTTGTGTGTCTGCAACTCCAGCACTAGGAAGCAGAGACAGGCAAATTCAGAGAACTCACGGGCTTGCTAGCTAGTGTAGCCTAAACAAGGAGCTTTCAGTTAAGTGAGAGACCATACGTCAAGGCAATAGGACAGACAGCAACAGAGGAAGGTACCTGATGTCCTGTTTTAGGCCCTGAATGTGCATGCATGGGCATATACACCATATGTTCAGGAGCATGCACAACAACACACACACACACACACACACACACACACACACACACACACACACACACAAGCGCGCGCGCGCGCTCTCGCGCGTGCACATATACATGCACGCACACACATGTACATGCACACAAATGCTCCCTCACAAAGATTAGGAGTTTAAATGGAAATAAAATCAGGCTAGGAAAGCAAGTCATAGCCAGGTGGTCATGAAATCTGATATAATAGACACAAATTCACTCTGTCATGTTCCTGCTTTTCTATTCTCTGTTTTATTTTATTGTGGATACATTTTCCCATACAAAACATTCTGATTACGGTATCTACGCCCCCTCCCCTTCTCAATTCCTTCCTGCCTCCCCTCTCATCAAGATCCACACCCTTTGTGTCTTTCCTTAGGGAAAAAAAGGCATCTAAGGAATAATAATAAAATAAAATAGGATACAATAAGATAAAACAAAAACAAATTGGAATACAGAAAGAAAACAAACAGAAGAGACAAAGATAAAACACAAGAAACACAAATAGATGCAAAGACACACACATTTGCACACACAGGAATCCAATAAAAACACAAAACCGGAAGCCATAATATGTCCACACAAGATCTGGAGCATTAAAAACAAACAACAGCAACAACAACAAACACCTGCCACGACATTATGAGACAAAGAGCCTCCAAAGGAAGCTGTTGAGTTTGTTTTGTGTTGGTCATCTACTGCTAGGTTTAGGGCTGCCATGGAATAATCTGTACTCTATGAAGATGTGTCACTCTGATTGGTTTAGTAAAGACCTGAATGGCCAGTAGCTAGGCAGGATTTCTTTCTTTTTTTATTTAAGAAAAATTTATATTCATTTTACATACCAACCACAGACCCACCTCTTCTGCTTCCTCAGTCTTCCCCCCACACCACTCATCCCCTCCTCCAAAAGGGTAGCGGCTCCCATGGAGAGTTAGCAAAGCCTGGTACATTCAGTTGAGGCAGGACCAAGCCCCTCCCCCTGAATCAAGACTGAGCAAGGCGTCCCACCATAGGTAATGAGCTCCGGAAAACCAGCTCAGGCACAGGGATAGATCCTGATCACACTGCCAGGGGCCCCTCAAACAGACCAAGCTACACAACTGTTTCCCATATGCAGAGGGTCTAGTCCGGTCACATGCAGGTTCCACAGCTGTCAGTCTAAAGTTTGTGAGTTCATACAAGCTTGGTTCAGTTGTCTCTAGATTTCCCCATCATGATCTTGACCACCACCACCACCACCACCACCACCATCCCTTGCTCATATAATCCCTCTTCCATCTCTTCGACTGGACCCCTGGAACTCAGCCTGATGCATAGCTGTGGATCTCTGAATCTGCTTCCATCAGTTATTGGATGAAGGCACTATGATGACAGTTAGGGTATTTGCCAATCTGTTTACCAAGTTCAGGCACCCTCTCTACTATTTCTAGTAGTCTGATCTGGAGTTATCCTTGTAGATTCCTGGGAATTTCCCTAGCACCAGGTTTCTCCCTAACCCCATAATGTCTCCCTCT